CCTTTGGGCAGTGAGTGCCCAAAGCTGAGCACAGCACTGAGCTGGGACCTCCCCAGTGCCCAGTCCAGGGGGATGAGCACTCATTCCCCCAGTCCTGCTAGTATCCTATACCCTGAAAAGAGCCAAAAGGAAAGCACAACAACTTGGGAAGCTACATCTTTAGTGATCTTGTACTGCATTTTTTTCACTGTTACTTAACAAATCTAAATGAACAGGTGTGGTGTGGTCAAAATTAAATGAGATGCAATAAACCAGCCCTGGATCTGCAGCACATTCAGCGTCCTAAAAGAGCGACACCAATAAAATAATTATTACAGTTCCAAAGTTGTTCTTGATACAGAAAGTGCCACACTGTTCTTGATACAGAAAGTGCCAAATAGAATGGAATTATTTTTCCTATTGTTTTGGTAATCTTTCTCAGTAGCATAAAATTCCTACAGTTGGTCAGAAAAGACATCCCTCAGAGCATAAAATCTTTAATCAGCTTGTTGACATCAGACAAATTCCATTAGTCTTTTCATTAATAAATTTCACTCCTGCTACCACAAACTTCACTAAACACTTGCACGTGGTTTCTCAATAAACAGTTTTCTTATACAGTATTTAAGACAGATGAATAATCTGAGCATAATCATATACCAGAGAAATGCCATTTAAATGTCCACTATTTTCCTTTCCAAGCCAAAACTCACTCCCTCATTAGCATCCTAAAATATTCTTGACTTGAGTTTACTTCCCAGAAGTGGTCAGGCAATGGAATAGATGACTGCTGTAGATCCCTTCTAACTGTTCTAGTATATTCTAATTTCTTAGTAAGTTCTAAAAGATGGAAGAGGCAGGGAAGGCATGACACTAAATAAGGTATGTTGCTTTTATGAAAGAAAGAAAATACAGCACATGCAAAAACTCAACAACTCCAGTGCTCTTACTGGTACTAGAATCCACATCAACTACATAGTATCACTAACTGCAAGGGAATTGTCTCCCTGTCATGACAAAGTGTCACATCTACAACCTCCCAACCTTCAACTAACCAGCAAGCAGCTATTATAAATGTTTAGTCAGAAGTTTTACACCCACAAATTAGGTGAATATTTATTAATTGTACATATATTTCCCCACTCATAAAAAGCAATGTAAGAGAAACATTACAAATTACTAAAATACTGCAAATACTCAATTTTGAAATGTCTCTTCCTTATTTCTCCTACAGGACAGAATATTCCAATTCCATAGCTAAATGATTCTAGGAGTGATGGCTAATATGCTATGATTTTAAGCATGCAAACCCCTAGGTCTTGCATGACCTTGTTCTGAAATAAAAACTGCATCACCTCATGCTTTAGGAGTTACTGAAATATTCCCTCAGACAACATGGCCTAAGACTGAGTCTCTCACTAGTTTCTAGATTCCCTTTTAACTTAAACCCTTCAACTGTTTTGATCTCCTAGGTTACTGTTTTATATAAATGCCCATCACATCCCTGCATTAACAAAAAAAAACACAACCAAAGAAACCTCACAACAAGGCAAACATAAATTAGGTTATCTTTATAAACATCTTACCTTCACTCATACAAAACACTCGAAGGAAAGCCAAAAGCTGAGCAGAGATTGGAGGCTCAGTGGAGTGCAAGGCAAAAACACTAGAACTAAAAGAAACAATCAAACAACAGCAAATGCAAATTCAATTGTCATATCTTTGAGCTTATTTCAGCATAAAAAAAGTACACAACAAATGCACTGTTGCAAAAGTAACTTGCAAAAAACTAGGGAATATTAGTTCAAACTGAGGAAAAGCTTCCTTAACCTGTATCTGAAAAGAACAATTATCTCTACAATTTTACACTTACAATTATTTTATACAGCTTTCATAATAAATTCATGAAAAATGCAATGTTTCATGTCTGCTGCTCCTAATAGCACCCTCTGGACTGAAAAGACTAAAGGAAAATGCTGTGGTTCACATACTGAGCATTGTAGTATGTCTGCAAGGGATAGAAAAGAGAGAAAAACCACAGATTGTTTCAAATTAATCCTTGCTCTGTTTTTGCTCAAATGGTTATTAAAGCAAAGGCTTTTTTTTTCCCTTATACATGGTCCAAATTAGATGATAATATAGCTCAGAGAACTTCTGTAAATATTATTACAATAACTTTAATTTGCTATACAAACAGGAGAAATATTACACCTAAGAAAACTATCAAAGAGCTGCTTTATAGATGCTCAACTGGACACTATATACTTTGGAAATGTTTGAAAAAGCCCATGGCATTGTGTTTTACTTACGTTGGGATACCAGCACGAGCTAAGACCTCTGCCTTCATAGCATACAGCCTGTCACTTTTACTCACGCCAAGCTTTATTTTCACTCTGTCATGTGAATTATTATCAAAGAAAAAACCACTGTGGATCACAAATTCAGCGTTTGACCGAGTGCCATAAAAAATGTAAATCTAGAAGGATGAAAAGAGAAGTGAAGGGACAGGGAAAAAAAGCTTAAGATCAGCTCAACAAAACTGACATCATTTAAAAGTTATTTCCTGAAAGAGTTACTATTCTGAAGACAAGGTATGTTTGGTTATATAAAGAAACATGCTTTGTCTTCTGCTGTTGATTCAAATGCTGCATATAAGTGTGGCAATTATACTTTACAGGTAGATGTAAACATATCCATGTAACAGAGACTTTGAAAGCAGAAAAGAAGTTCTTATTCTATACTCGGAAATAAAAATGGTTTGTTTTCTCACACTGTCATAAAATACAGAGAAATAAGCTTTCAAAGGTCCTATGCCTTTTCAAGGCTAAAAATAGCTGAGACAAGGAGAGCCCATTTAAATAAATGGTGTTTCTGGGGTCATTTTCCCTGCCAAATATCTTCCCAAAGGAGTAACCTACACTGCTGATGGATCAACTTTGCTTTCATTTTAATGTTATGTTAAGGTATGGATATACCACAGCACCTCACACAGCGAGATCTCAGCTGTGTTCAGCCAGTATTTATTTTTGTGTTATACTCTGAACTCTTTATCTAAAGCATATAGGCTACTTTTAATTCACATTAAAAGCAGCTCCTAAAAATAACCTGCAGAATATGCTTAACTCAGGACTAGGCTGTGTGAAGTGCACAGGACTAGAGGTCAGAGTAGCAACTATCTTCTCCCACATCAAGAGGATATTTTCCTCTTTGTGTTTGATACCAGAATTGTCCATCAGGAAAAAAAAAGTTTCAACAGTTACAGAAGTCCCTTCTGAACCTCAGGGTACAGCAATGCTCCTGATGCCTGAAAGTTTCCATTCCTTTCCAGCTGACAGAGAAAGGCACAGAGCTCTCTAAAGGGCTCAACAACAGCACCAATGCCATTTACTTTCTTTGTTTTCAATTTTAGGTTCATTCTAAGCACTAAATGCTTAAATAGGATATTAAATTATAGTAAACACACTCCTGTGATGAACACATGACCTCTCTAGGTATGTTAAAGGCAGTGGTTAAGGACAGAGTTGTTAACCCTCTCAAGTTTTAAAACTACTGTGATACACGTCATATTATACTGAAAGTCACATATCATGTATAGATGTCACAGTTTCTTACACCCCAAGACTGTTCTACAAAAGATCCAATCAAACAGAATGAGAAAGTTGCTTTATTTCAGGCCAGTGTTTGCTAGATTCTGTGGACTTCTGCTGCCTCACATTTC